TTCAAAATTTGGTTTTGCGCATGCGCAGTGCCAACTTTTTTATTTATGGAAGAATTTAAACGAAATTTGATACATAGGCACTTGGGATAAAGGAAAATCAAACGCCAATTTCAAAATTTGGTTTTGCGCATGCGCAGTGCCAACTTTTTTATTTATGGAAGAATTTAAACGAAATTTGATACATAAGCACTTCGAATAAAGGAAAATCAAACGCCAATTTCAAAATTTGGTTTTGCGCATGCGCAGTGCCAACTTTTTTATTTATGGAAGAATTTTAACGAAATTTGATACATAGGCACTTGGGATAAAGGAAAATCAAACGCCAATTTCAAAATTTGGTTTTGCGCATGCGCAGTGCCAACTTTTTTATTTATGGGAGAATTTAAACGAAATTTGATACATAGGCACTTGGGATAAAGGAAAATCAAACGCCAATTTCAAAATTTGGTTTTGCGCATGCGCAGTGCCAACTGTTTTATTTATGGAAGAATTTAAATAATGAAATTTGATACATAGGCACGTGGAATAAAGGAAAATCAAACGCCAGTTTCAAAATTTGGTTTTGCGCATGCGCAGTGCCAACTGTTTTATTTATGGAAGAATTTAAATGAAATGTGATACATAGGCACTTGGAATAAAGGAAAATCTAGCGCCAGTTTCAAAATTTTATTTTGTGCATGCGCAGTGCCAACTTTTTTATCTATGGAAGCATTTAACTGAAATTTGATACTTAGGCGCTTGGAACAAAGGAAAATCTAACATTAGTTTCAAAATTTAGGTTTGGCATGCGCAGTTCCAACTTTCTTATTTAGAAAAGCATTGAAATGAAATTCTTCTCATAAACTGAAATTGAAGTAGCACGTCAAAAATGGATTGCCCATGTGCAACGCTATCTTTCATATTTGTGGCCGGATTTTTACGATTTTAATAGAGGTTGCATCTTACAATAATGGGAAATGAATGCAAGTGGAAATGCGCTTTATGTAAATCGTTTACGATTACTTTTTAACTTGTTTTTCTTAATTCTACTACAAACACTAAAATTTCTTAATTATAATGGTTTAGGGGAAAAAGGGAGTTGAAATTATAAAACCTAAACGCAAAATATGCTGAAAAATATCAAGAGATCGTTAAAGACCATCTTTAAAAATGCTATAAGCTATAATTAAGCGCACCATAAAAAGAGGAAATGCAGGCGTTTTCCATATTATGGTAAGATACCTACTTATGCTAAAGTATCTAAACATTGTGGAGTAGATATTAAAGACGAAATTACTAATACAAAATATTGAATTATACTAGATTCAAAAACGGTATTCGATAAGATAAAAATATATTGAATTATTGTTCTTTATTGCTAGATAAATTGGTAATATAGAATTTAAAAAGTAAATCGGACATCAGGAAGTGTAAAGGAGTAGGTACAAAATAAGACATGTTTGTTATTAGAATAGTCTCAAGTTATTTACAAAATATTAAATAAACAAGTACACATAATATATTAAATTAGTAATCTCGTGAACACTGAGATATGAGATGGAGTCAAACACTATTATTACTACATTCTTAAATATGTAAGGCATTAGTTGAATTTTTTTAAATCATTCTCTAAGCGCTGACACTGCTGGCAGAGGGTATCCTTTTTTCCGTAACAACCTATAGGCTCTTGTACCAGCTGAATCAATGATAATAGCTTTCGAAATATCTTCAATTGTCCATGTTACTCGCTTATAAGGATGTTTCAATATCATTTCAGTGGTGGTGAAAAACCTGTGAAAAATTTCATTTTCTTCTTTTAATTTGGAATTATCTCGTCTCTGTTGTCAGCATCAGTGTTCGTACTGAAAAACGTCTCTAAACCAATTTCTAATACACCAAAACAAGAAGCTTACCTGGTTTGTAGGAGAGCCGCAACTAATTTTGACCTATTTCTTTTATTAATGCGACTGGTTCGGGCCGATTCCCCTTTCACATCCTTTGAGTTTCCCAGTGGCAAATTGAGAAATGGTACGGTATCTGGTTTCAACAGTCGACGATTTCGGGCGGTATAGCCCAGTAGTTCAAACCGCAAATTCCGTTCGTAAGACGACTCGTCAAAATGTTTCGAACATATTCTGGTAGTTTTCACATTAATGTGACCTGGCCGGTTACAAGCTAACACCCAACGTTTTTGAAAATTTTGATCATTCGGGAACCGGAAAAACATTAGATTGCTTGAAAACTGTTTTGATCCATTAGCTGTGGTACATCCAACCACGGAACACCTCATTTTGTTGAAAACTGATTCACAAATTCCAAAAAAGTACCAAAATCTACACTGACAGGCAATTATATTTAATTTGAAATTCACCGCGTGACGTCACACACGTGATTCATAACTCCTCCTACATGCGCAATATCATATCTTATATTTATTGTATCATGGTCGCCACTGTCTCTATAAAGTCACTGTAGCTGCGACTGCCACCCATGGTTACCTAGTTACGTATATAAACAACAAAAAATGCTGCGTCCGTCATTTTGAAAGCAATTTTTGTGTCGTTTGGCTTTGTTCAAGAACGGAAAATGTTGGAAGGGAATGAAGATGATGATGTTCCCATGGGGGGAATAAAAGAAGCTGAAGACGCTCTTAAGGAGTTAGTGCCGGCGACTTCAAAAACATTATATGAAAACGAATACTCCAAGTTTTGTAAATTGTGATCGGAAAAATCCTTGAAGATTGTGAACGAAAACATTCTTTTGGCGTATTTTAGTGAATTATCTAAGCAGGGAAAACCGTCTTGCTTGTGGACCTACTACTCCATGCTTAGATACATGCTGCGTGTGCGAGAGAACCTAGATATTTCAAGGTATTATTTATACACATTATTAGTCGAATTTGAACAATACTAAGACGTTCTTTTGGATTATAGTTATGGGCAATTGAAAACGTTTTTAAAAATAAGAATCAGGAATTTTAGCCCAAGAAGTCTAAGATTCGCCATTCACTGTCTGAGGGAAATCTGAAAAGTACCTAGATGTATTTCAAAATATTGTTTTACACACAATTGCTACGACAATGGATCTGTATCACAACCTACCAAATGAATAAAGTTAAGTATCGTAAAAGAAGACCATTTTAAGAAATATAACATGGTTACCACCTATGAAATGTCATTCTCGTTCCTTCTGTAGGTTTTGACTTATATTACACGATTGACAGCTAACCATTGTGTTTGACTTTACCGTAAATGTCAATTAATTGTCAAAGTAGTCCTATTGTTCTGACAGGGAATTAGATTTTATAACTCCCGTTGTTATGACAGCGGGAATTATGGGTCTGTTTATGTGGCTATAGACTAGTATTTTAACCACCATGTAAATTATCAATAAAAAAAAAAAATTTTAATTACCCGTAGCGCGTTCGAAAATAGGTGAGCATTTTCTGGGGAAGAAGTTTTCACCTGTTTTGCCTTTGCGTGTTTTTAATATTCGTTAATAACCACCATCGTTAATAAAGGTAATGAATTCATTCATAAACTTTACAAGGGTTTTTTGATAATTATGTTATGGGTCATCGGAAAGAACCAGAAGACAAAATGGTACAGACCCTATACGTTACCATATGTTGACGAAAAACCAGTATAAACCACTTTTGTCTTTTGTCTCTCAAGAATACATAACTTCAAAAAATCTTATTGCTTTAGGAAATACGTGTAATAAAAAGATCGTTTGTTTTTATAAAAATACAGGGCTTTGTATTGTGATACGTGGCGATATGAACCACTTAAAAAGTTCACACGAAGGAGCAGATCCCAGAATGTTTCTTCATTCTTTAGATGCATCTGAAAGGGGAGTAAAGACAGTATGAATTTTTTCGCCAGATTCAGTTGTTTTGGTCAAAGGTGCAAATGTTTAACTCAAAAAATTCATTGTACGGAAATGTGCGAATGTGAGGTTGATCTCGGATTTTGTTCAAACATTGAAATAGATGAAAAAACTACTGATTCTGACGATGCACTGGATAGCGATAAGGGTAGTTTTCTCTCTTCCACCATTTCTTAGAGGTACGCCCAAAGAGATTCAAGCGAATAAATAGATTTTGAAAAATATTTATAGCAATGTTTCATCCGAGGTTTTATCGCAACATTTCTTTTTCGATAGGGGTTGTGTAGGGTAGTTTTCTCCCTTCCGGCACCCCTTACAGGTTTACTCCATAGAGATTCAAGCAAATACATACATTTTGGGAAATATTTTTAGCTATTTTTTATCGTAATACGTATTTTTGTAAAGGGGTTGTTTTTTCCTTTCGGACAGCCCTGAGAGGTACGCCCCGATATTCGTAATCTACACATTTTTCCGAAAATTTTGATGTATAGCATGATATTGCTTCACAAAGTTGCACACGGAATAGGTACAAATTGAAGACTGACTATTAGGCGGTGCGGCATCTTTTATAAAAGTTCGAGACCAAACGGGAGTTTTCTTGGGTAGAGATTAAAGAAAGTAAACTTTTCTAGTCAGCCTTCGAAAAAAAACTACATTGTGTATAACTGTCAAATGAGCAATAAGAGACACCAAAATGAGAACGCATGCAATAACTAACTAATAAGTAAATAATAACTATCAAACCGCCCTTGAAAAAAAAGGGACATAAAGCCTTTGTGTCTTTGCTGATTTTAAGGCAGTTAGCCCATTTTTAAGTGAAAAGCACTGTACAGTGTGACCTATTTTGACCCTATATCCCAGCACAGATATACTATCTGTTATCTCAGATACAAATGTAGGTAGCTAGATTGATTGGCTTTTAAAACTTTAATTAATTGGTATTGGCATAATTTGTTAAACGTTTTACAGATTTCAGGCATTTTTGAAAAAAAAATACGCTATTAGATTCGTTATGGCTGGCTGGCTGGCTGTCCGGCTGAGATCTCGGCAATTACAATAGCTAGAGACTTCAAATTTTCACTAAAAGCTTTTTGATGAAGTGTAGATGTGCAGGCTCTAGTCTATTTTGAGTTAGATTACTTGTGAGGTCGATAATTTTAAACTTTACTAATAAAATACTGATCTGTATTACCAAAAATGCGCTTTCATCATGCATATGCTGATTTATTAGGTACTTGTTTTATGAATATTTGCATACCAGCCCTCCTTCTTTTACCAAATGTATATAAATTCAGTATTCACTACTGATAATAAAATTTAATTTGAAAATATCATCATACACATTAGCTACTATTATTCTAATAAAGCTTTTTTGGAAGATAGTTCTACGAGCAAATGTTACTCCCATTAATCTGACTCTCTTTGAATAATCTCGTATAGATTGTATAAGAAAGTGTCTGAAGCGAGAGTATGATCGGCACATGTTTTCTGTCGAGTGTCCCTCCGAGGCCCAATATTTTAATCGTGGGCGGAACTTTCCAGAAATAGGTAAGTGAAAAAATTATTCTTTGGCTTATAACAGACTTTTTACATCAATTGATGCAAGATATCAAAAACAATAAACTGAAGACTTAGTTCTTCATTAAGGGTTCCTAGATTGAGGGAAAAATCAATACTGTGTACTGATCTTGTTGACGCGCTAACAAAAATGTTTTTTTCAATATAAACTTAACGACGTGCAGCGAAATTCATGGTCAGCGCATAACTTCGAAGTAAAATTTTGAAAAGCTAAATATTTACAACTCTCAAAACTGAATTCGGCACGCGCAACCTTTACACTTCCACATATAAATAACTATATAAAGTATGATCATTAAGACTGATACATCACTTTTAATTTGTCGGTAAGTCATTCCAATCTAGCAAACATTTTTTTCTCAGCACAATTTTAGGTATCGGTCATCATGTTATTGGCCTACATTCTTTTGGTAACCGCTCAATTGGTGTGCATACGAGGAGCTTGCGATCCGGATTATCTGCAGACGATAGAATGGACCGGGGGCCCTTTCGAATGGACGGAGAAGTCAGTAAGGGCTCTGTTTAAGTCGAGCGGGAAGTACATTAGCAAAAATATTGTTGCTCAAAGGGCGCAGATTTATGGCGACTACTGCTATTTGGCTCTGACCCGCTTGAGGCCAGGTGTCCCCGCGACTTTGGCTCAAGTTTCGCTGAAATCGACCGGAAGTGACGCGATTTTGACACCGTTCCCGTGTTGGCTGTCGCAAGAGGAGAAGAACTGCAAGGCGCTACAATCGGTTGTGGACTTGTTCTGTGACACTCAAGGCGTTTTGTGGGCTTTGGATTCTGGTGTTGTAAATACGCTGCACACTAACAGTACTCCGATTCGCTACTGTCCGCCGAAAGTCGTCGCATTTTCCTTGAAAACTGGGAAGCTGTTGAAGACCGTTGATCTTTCCGGTTTGGTAACACAAACCTCCCGCTTGCAGTACGTAGCCTGTGAGTATCCACGTGGCAACCAACGGCCGGTAATCTACGTCAGTGACGCCGCGGCGAGGTCAATCTTAGTTTACGATGTGGTTGCCAGTCGAGGTTATAGGGTGGTGCTACCCCAAGTTGTCGCCAACGGATGTAATCGTCGCGACATCTTATACATGGCGCTCGTCCGCAAAGGGTGCGGAAACAATTACATCATCTTCACCTATCTCTGCGGCAAACGCATCTTTTCGATCCGAACCGATTATCTGCGCACAGGATCGGCTAATGGAAGGATCGTGGATCTTGGTCTGAAACCTAACAAGCTCGTCATCCTCGGTACCGATACCGGATCGGCCGTATTCTTCAGATACGAAGGCAAACAAGAGATCTACCGCTGGGATTCCAACACTTGTTTCAAGCAGGAAAACTTCCTGGTCGTGTACAAAGCGAGTGCGTGCTTTCTACCAACGCAGGTTATGGCCGATCACAACCAGCAAAGGATGAGGGTGCTGCAGAGCAACTTCCCAGATTATGTCCAGCACACTGTCGGTTGCGGCGCAGTGCAACAAATTCATTTAATGGAGGGTACTTGTTAAATTGTTACTGAAATAGAAAATCTTGAAGGAAATTGTTTTTCGATTTAGCCCTAAAGTGCTTCTTCAAACATTACATTATAGACAAAAATAACTGTCGAGAAATCGGTTGCTCGCCCTGAAGCTAGTAGCTTTTGCTCTTTTTAATGATTAAGCCAGTTAATGTTGAGCTAAAGAAATATCCTCTGGAACCATTTTTTGAGGAGAATAGAGACAGTCGTACCATCTTGTAATTTTCAAAAACGGAGTAACAAATCTTACTTACAGGAACAGTGGGTCTGTTGGAACCTGCAGCAATACTTAGATTATACAGAGGCAGAACATATAATTAAAAAAACAGTAATCTAATCGTCAGTTCGGTTGTGGAAGTTTGTATACTGGAAGAGTGCAGTGGATGTAACCTGCAGCCTGCAGGTTAATTAACTAACGCAAGAAAATATTATCTTTTAGTAATATCCTGCCACGAACAACTTTTTCCGCAACCCCAACCTTACAAACTTTGACAGTCGAACCACACTCAGTCCAGTTTCCAAACGTAAATGCTGGGAACTAAAATTGTGTCTTTTATTTTCCGAATGGCAATCTTGATTGGATACTGTGTTAACCAAAGCCCATAAGTTGTACTGCGGATCATTGAATAGTTCGGCTACATGTGGAAGTCTGTCGTGAGATTGCAGCAGAACCTCGTGGTTTTCGGCTGATAAAGGTTTACTAAAAAGAAACCTTGAATTTATACTTCTATAGCCAATTGGTTACGTACGTAATTAACCATCGCAACACGGCATAATCTCGTGTTAAATAATAATTTAGTCCACCTGCGATATCGGTAACCAAACCAGTGGAAGGTCCCAGTTTCTGACCCACATAATATGAAGACACTGATTGATTCATCTACCAAAAGAACCGATGTTATTTTTGAGCGACTTTCTCGACTTACCTTAGTCTGGCGCACTTCAGTCAAATTCAACGCGAAAAGAGCATCATCACGATCTCTTGTTACGTACAGTTTAGTGTCGAAGACGGAGATGGCGATTCGTTCCGGAACTACACCACCAAGAATACTCACCTCCCACCACTTGCGGTGATCATAAGAAACAACTGTTAATTTATCAAACCGATTGTTGCCAACGTAACAGAGTGTCCCATACTCGTCTGAAACGTCAAGAATCAGCATACTTAGCTCGTCCGGTCCAAAATTGCCAAGTGTCCATTTCGCCAACTCCATATTTGAGGGCAAACCGTAAACGACGACCTTTGGCGGGCAATGGTCGTTCCCCTGGTCCAACACCCAAAGCCGACTTTTCCGATTGTTGACGTCCAGCGAGATTGCACTTTGCAATTGACTGCACTTCCCCCAAGTCTGACCGAAGAAGGATTTGCGCTCCGAATTCAGCTGGGAATTGTCGGCATTCCATTGCACTTCCAGAAGGGTAGGACCCAACGGATCATTGTAGCAAGAACTGCGAGGAAGAGCAAGATATGCGCTTTTCTTGTAGACCGCAATGGACGACGCGTAACCGAACGTAATATGTTCAGCTTTAGCGATTGCACAAAATACGTACAAAAGAAAAATGGCTCGCATTTTTGAGCAGATGAAAAGTAATCGATTTGTGCCTAATATGCAACAACAAATACGTAATCATTTCTGTATAGTAAGCGAAATTGTAATTGGTGCTGCGTAATCATTCTTCAGTTCTAGACAAAGCAATCATGGAAGGAATTACTCCAAAAAGTTTACATTGCATTTGCAAATTGCAGTAGGTAGCTTATATTTTTTTATAGAAACGCTTTTAGTTCTTTTTTGCAATATTCTCATGATGGTCTAAAACCAAATCTGCTGAAAAAGAGGCGTCCTTAATTAACTCTTTGGAATCGTAGAAGTTATTTTGTGCGTTGATATACGTGGGGGTGGGGGTTTACAATAATTCAGCGACATTAACTAGGTTTGTCAGATTGTTTCTATCATTTGGCGGGAAGCAAGGTGGATCCACCTTGGCGGGAAGTTTGTTTGAAATAACGCTTATTCTGACATCTAGTTGGTTGTTAATTAAACACCTGCATCATGCAGTACTTCTTTTTTACCACAGATATCGCTGCCTATCACATTTTCGTTTCTCATTCCCGAATCAATTTTTATCCACGCCTACAGCCAGCTTGATAATTTTCTTACTTGCTCCGATGCCTAATTTTTGTACTAGACAATTTGTTTAAAATATACCATAGTATAACAGTTAAGTAAGGTACACAGTGTACCTTTATACCGTTTTGTACGAGAAACATATTCACTTCGCCATAAAAAAATGAAAAGTGTGGTATATTAGGGTAAACTGGAAGAGCAGACTGATTAGCCTGCTCTGAACTAAATTTTACATACACCTCAAAATGAATTTCTCTTGTTGAAAATGTTAATTACTCTTTGCTTTTGTTTTGAGTACGTAATTTGAATTATGTTTTTTACACTGTACGGGTGCGATTATGCTTTTATATTGTTTATTAAGTATTTTTTTATGTATTCACGAGGAAGTTCATTATCAATTTATCAGTGTGCTGTTGCTCTGTATGCTTCGATTTAACTATTCCGTAGAGCAGAGCTGGAAAGTAATCGATTACAATTGTAATTGATTAAAGTTTTTGGTACTTTTCTGTGTAATCAGTAATCAGCAACTAAATAATTTGAAAGTACCTACTGTAATCAGTATTGTAATTTAATTACTTTTCTCAGGAGTAATCGTAATTAGTAATCCATATTGTAATCATGAATACAAATAAGTAATCAAAATCATGGTTACTAAAGTAATCACGAATCCTAAGGTAACCATGATTACAATAGAGCAATTTAGTTATCTATTCCTATGTCTGTTGTGGCCTGTAGAATCCATAATTTCAAACAGTTCCAAGATTGGGCTACTAGTTCAAAAGTTACAGCCCTTTGAATTTTCTTTCGAAATTGGTTTCTAGTCTATAACTTTTGATTGAGAAGTCTGATCGAAAAAGTACGAATTGTTTGGATTCTACGCACCCAAAATTAATAAGAAAAAGTGTTTTCCCGAGAAATTTTGGTGTAGTCGATTTTTGGTAAAAAAGGAAGGTTATACACTGCCTTTTTTTGAGCCCGAAAAAAAAATTGTCTCAGATCGACCCGGAAAAAAATTTTCTTATAGAATGTGGCTTGTAGAATCCATAATTTCAAACAGTTCCAAGATTGGGCTACTAGTTCAAAAGTTACAGCCCTTTGAATTTTTTTTCGAAATTGGTTTCTAGTCTATAACTTTTGATTGAGAAGTCTGATCGAAAAAGTACGAATTGTTTTGGATTCTACGCACCAAAATTAATAAGAAAAAGTGTTTTCCCGAGAAATTTTGGTGTAGTCGATTTTTGGTAAAAAAGGAAGGTTATACACTGCCTTTTTTTGAGGCCCGCAAAAAAAGTTGTCTCAGATCGACCCGGAAAAAAAATTTTCTTATAGAATGTGGCCTGTATGAATCCATAATTTCCAACAGTTCTATGATTGGGCTACTAGTTCAGAAGTTACAGCCCTTTTAAATTTTCTTTCGAAATTGGTTTCTAGTCCATACGGACCAAGAATTTTTTACCTACTGTCAATATCAACTTTTTCGCGAGTTGAATAAGTAGATCGCACACGAACGAAAATAAAAATACGCAGGTCAAAGCAACAATACCTTAGTATTCAAATGAATTAATATGACAGCCATATATTTATTTGTTTTAAGAAGTTCTTTTGGTTACATAAAATTAGGCGCCCTTCAGAAGGATTCTGTCATTTAACAGTATACAAGAAAAAACAATACATGCATAAATCCCTATCTCTACTTGTTAATACTGTATAGAAATGTTTCAGGATGTGTAAATTTGTTGGGGAAATAAAAGGAAATTTAGTATAAAGTGGGATATTGCTTTTAGGCCCGTGAATTCTTGATTTACCTAGGTACATACATTGTTCTAAGACCTATGATTGTACAGCGATGTATAAATCCGGTGAACAACATACAAATATCAGAGAATTACCTATTGGAATTCTTAATGCAATACTAATTAATAGGGCAGTATGCTCTCATCTGGGCCTGAAAATAGTATGCTTTAAAATTAAGGCATACGTCGTCGCATATACCTTCTTGAAAAAGGCTTTCTCTGCATCTTTATTACTTTGGCTTTAGTTCCTCTTAAAGGGATTGAATGATAGTAGGAAAAGGGGAGAGACGTAAAGTACCTATGTGAAGGATTCCTATTGTTCAAAGTGCCCATACAGGTAGGTACAATAGAGATGATATCAGTGGCTTTTAATACGTTTGTAACTTGAAATCAATAACACTGCTGAAACACCATATTATGTATGGCATGGCATAAGCATCCACTGTTATTAGAGATGATTTGAAGCTGTTTCAATTTAGTTTAAGGACGATAAAGGTGTATATCATGGTCATGAGTAAATGTCAGGGCCACCGGATTAGATGATATCAAATTTGTGTTGTATGCAATTACAGTTTTTTTGTTATAGATCAAGTTTATTCTTGGGAGGAATATTTTGGCGTATTTTTCCGAGTGGAAAATTACCAATTTAAATCCGTAGTATACAGCATATGTACTTATGTTACAAATTTGAATAGCCCATTATCTGAAAAATGGAGGAAATTCGCTGACGGATGCCTGGAATAATTTTTTAAGCTGCGAGGCAAAGATAATACCAATAATTATCTTTATGCGAGGGGAATTTTCCCTCCCAAAAAACGCGCCCATAGATGGCGCAGAGGAGCGCACAAGTCCACGTGATCGCCACCTAAAAGCGCCGAGATTCGTAATGGCGGATTTCATTATTAGTTGTTTATGTGTATTTCTGTGTAATAATGTGATATGAGTAAATTTTATTATTTAAGTAATTGTTTAACAATGTGATTATGTCTAATGGTAATGTAGGAGCAGTGATGAAATCAAATTCTGAAGGCGAGCTGTTAAAATCGCACGAGATGACTGTGAATTCGGATAGAACAAATGTTCAATCGGCGGAACCTTCCAAATTAAAACGTACATTTACCTTGCCGAGGAACCCGTTTAACGCGACCAGAGTGTCGAAACGAAGAGCGAAACCTAGAGAGGAGACTGAAAACAAACCACCTACTTACAATGAATCGGAACGTAACAATAAGAAAGTATTTCGTAGGCCTTCATTTAGGAAATTCATTAACAAAATCGCCCAGCACATCGGCGGCGTGCCCGTCATGAACTCGAGCCTCGACAGCAGGGTCCCGCCGGTACACTTGCAAACGTGGGCGACCGATCAGACTCCCGGCGTTACCGGCTTGAGAAATCACGGCAATACGTGCTTTATCAACGCCATCCTACAGTGCATATCGCACACGGACATACTTGCCGAGTACTTCGTCCTAGATCAGTACAAGATAGATTTGTCGCGACGAAATAAGCTCAATTCGAAAAAGTACGGGACCAAGGGAGAGGTTACCGAGCAGCTAGCGTTGATACTCAAGGCGCTCTGGGCGTGCCAGTACAGCCCCGAGCTTAGTACAACTTTTAAGCAGGTCGTCGAGAGGCACGGGTCGCAATACAAAGGCACGCAGCAGCATGACGCACTCGAATTTTTGCAGTGGCTCCTAGATAAAGTTCACGAGGATTTAAATACGGCGTCCAAGAAGAAGTATAAATCGATTAAGGTAAGGGCCTTATCTGTTACATAACAACCCTCTATGTTTACAATTTGCGAATTGATTCAAAATTATTGTTTTTGAGGGGGAGTACAGCTGATTTCCTCCCAGTTTGCGACGTTGCCATTTTGCGAATTTATCAATGAAACGCGTCGGTGTAGTTAATTCAATTAAAAAAGATGGCCTTAATTAGTTGCACATCCGCCGTCGATGTCGACCCAGATTGTTTAACGTTCACGGTCGCATGTACTATCAAGGTCATCTATTCCTAGATATTTATATTCCGGTGTAAAACGTATTTAAAACGGTAAGCCGCGCTGCGTTATGCAACTTCCATGGAATTCTAGACAACCGCAAAAACTTCGCACGTGGGAAGGAATTGTTGGGAATGTTTCGGTTGACAAGTTAAAGCACAAATCTTTCCAGAAATAATAGCAATCGGCGCGTTTCGGAACCGTATATGACCACACAAAGCGTAATGCACGCAAACATCCAGTTTTTGGTATAAAAGAGTTTTTGGGACGTTTCCAGAAAAATTCAGAAATTCCCTAACTCTGGTCTGAGCGCTGTAAGGTTCTCGAAAGCGTGTAGAAGGCTCTGGAAATCCTTCCGCTTTCCAGATCCTTCAAAGGCTTTCCAGAACAACGAACAGTTTTCTGGATCCTCTTCTATCATTCTCAGCGCTCTCTAGACTTTTATAGCACGTTGGGCGCGCCTTACGACCTTTCCTGCACGTACGTGCGCTTTCCAAATTTTCTTTTTCCATGTTTCTAGGTCATTTGTCATTCATAGCCACGGCTTTCCTCTGCCTAGGCTTGTCTAGCTCTGGAACACGTCTTTTGTGTGGCTCATATCTATCCATATCAAAATTACAAACATTACTACTGTGGTTTTGTTGTTATCACTCTCTGTACTTAAATACTACTACACTGATTTAAAACGCGATATGGTTGACGACAATACTGACCGAGATACTGACTCTTGAAGAATCTTTTATTTCGCTGAAAATTAAGGGCCAATTACTTACGCGGGGTTTCATCTACTCTCGTTGGGTAATTAGCGCTTGATTTTTGCATTATCAAATGATGTCTTTTGGAATTGGTGTTGCAGGTTTCAATTTTGCTTACTCGGGCCGAAGGAGAAGATCGCGAACCGTTAAGGTCACACGGGGTAGGTGCACGCGATATTAGTAATACGTCAGGAAGTTGATATCAAGAGAATGCTGTGATAAACGATGACCTTTAATTCATTTGTTGAACGTCGGTTTTTGTTTTTAGCTAAGGTCACACTAATGTTTTGATGATAGCGGCCTCTATCGATTAAATGGGCGAGATTAGTGATTTGCATTATTTATAGTAGTCGTCTATTTATAAACGGCGATCACCTTCGCTGAGTAATTGCAGGTGAACGGTTTTCGCGAGAGGAAGATATCGCCAGACGTTTGCTTTGTTTACTACACCTGAGACTCATTTTGGCAGTGGACCAAATGGAGTCACCTGCTTCGTGCGCAATAGAAATCGTGCCAAATGTAGGAACGCGGGTTCGTCACAATCTAGCAATCAAAAACCGGTGCCGCCGCCATATGATAACGCCACAAATCTTATCTGTCGCAAAGAATTGCAACATCTTCGGGTTACGTCAAGGAGAAAGTGAAATCGCGAAAGTTCAATAAATTAGCCGCCAGACATTGCAACTGTCTATAATTCAGCTCCCTGCCGATGAATAGATTCAAGCTTAATATTGCCGCCTTTATATTGTATTATTTATAATAAATAAAGCCTTATCTAAAATACGTCTGTGTCACTTATCTGAACGGGATGTGCAAAAATGAGCACTATCGCATTGCTATGAGAAAGTTTCGCGTGAAGTTTGCTCTCTGAAGATAATGCCATAAATATGTACCATCTACAACGATTATACACAATCCCTAATTTACCATTCTGTCTTTAAAGTGTCACTTTTCATCTGTTAAATGTCAAATGTTTGTCTTGTGTTTAATTGACTTGTCCCATACACTTTTACAGGATGAATATATATTTATTATTATTATTATTATTACTTTTGCTTTTCCAGATTTCTAATAAAAATTCATTTTTGATGTTCAAAGACAAAATTTAGACAAAAACCAAATTCAATCCCTTAATCGACCCTGCTTCAATCCTTCACAACGATCATAAAACATCCTCCACCTCAACCTCTAATTTGCCAGGATTTTCGTTTAAGGTAAGTAGGTAAATAACACTAATACAACCTCGACTACAACCCCTTAACCCACTCTACCTACCATTCCCCAACCCTTGATTTAACAATTTGACCTTTAAAGAAACTTTTGCATTTTGCGGTTTCTAATAAAAATCCGTTTTTGGCATCGAGACACAAAATTTATATAAGAACAAATTCAATCTTTCAATCTACCCTGCCTCCACCTTCTACAACGTTGATAAACCATCCCCCAGCTCTTAATTTAACAATTGGCCCTTTAAAGTAATTTTTGCATTTTGCAGTTTCTAGTAAAAATCCATTTTTGGCATCGAGACACAAAATTTAGATTTAAAGAAATGCAATCTTTTAATCTACCCTGCCTCCACCCTCTACAACGTTCATAAACCATCCCCCAACTCCTAACTTAACAATTTGATCTTTAAAGTAATTTTTGCATTTTGCGGTTACTAGTAAAAACACGTTTGTGACATCGAGATACAAAATTTAGATAAGAACAAATGCAATTTTTGAATCTACACTGCCTCCACCTTCTACAGCGTTGATAAACCATCCCCCAGCCCCTAATTTAACAATTGGTCTTTTAAAGTATTTTTTGCATTTTGCTGTTTCTAGTAAAAAACCGTTTTTGGCATCGAGACACAAAATTTAGATAAAAAACATATGCAATCTTTTAATCTACCCTGCCTTCATCTTCTACAACGTTCATAAACCATCCCCCAACCCCTAACTTAACAATTTGATCTTTAAAGTAATTTTTGCATTTTGCGGTTACTAGTAAAAATACGTTTGTGGCATCGAGACACAAAATTTAGATAAGAACAAATGCAATCTATCCTGCCTAAAAAATTCAAAGGGCTGTAACTTTTGAACTAGTAGCCCAATCTTGGAACTGTTTGAAATTATGAATTCTACAGGCCACATTCTACTATGCGATCAAAAATGAGTTGCTGTCGAGTCACCTTTGGAATTTTTGTTTACATGGGAAATCGTACTTAATTTGAACTTCCAAAGGCGACTCGACAGCAACTCATTTTTGATCGCCCGTTATAAGAAAATTTTTTTTCCGGATCGATATGAGACAATATTTTCTGCGGGCTTCAAAAAAAGGCAGTGTATAACCTTCCTTTTTTACCAAAAATCGACTACATCAAAATTTCTCGGGAAAACACTTTTTCGTATTAATTTTGGTGCGTAGAATCCAAAACGATTCGTACTTTTTCGATTAGACTTCTCAATCAAAAGTTATAGACTAGAAACCAATTTCGTAAGAAAATTCAAAGGAAAGGTGTGAGGCGGCGAGAAGATCTAACAGATGGAACGGTCAAAACAATCCTCTACCTTCTACAACGTTGATAAACCAGCCCCTAATTTAACAATTGGCCCTTTAAAGTAATTTTTGCATTTTGCAGTTTCTAATAAAAATCCGTTTTTGGCATCGAGGTACAAAATTTAGAGTAAAACAAATGCAGTCGTTTAATGTATCCTGCCTGCACCTTCTACTACGATCATAAACCATCCCCTAATTTAATAATTCTGCCTTTAAGGTAGGTATATTTTTCTGTTTCTAATAAAAATGCGTTTTTGACATCGAGGCAAAAAATTTAGATCAAAAAATATTCTAGCGCATTCTAAACCCTCATAGTTTGAGCTTCTATTGGTGACACGAGAAAGGGAGGCCGCGATTCGTGCTCTAAGAAACGTTCGGAGGCTCAAAACCGACTATCCCTCGAAGACGCGCCCCCTTGAAAAAGGTAGCTAATTTCATCCCTTGGAAAAAAAACAAAATTCCGTCACGCAGGAGTTGTGCGCGTTTACAAGATCTTTCTGACCACGCCAATTTGAAAACAATCTGACCAAAACTGTGGAAGAAGACAACTGAAAAATCACCACGTTAGTATAACACGCTCGGGGATGGTCCCACATCATGTCGCCCCGTCCCTAAAGTTTACACGGCCCCGGTATGTATGTACACTGTACACTCCTCGTCTTTGTACAAGCGTTTTTCGACGGATCCGCATTTGCTGCCAGCCAGCCGGCCGGGCAGAGTGAGATTAAAAAATTTGCAAAAATGCGCTAAAAACAAATGCAATCCTTTAATCTATCTTACCTCCACCCTCTACAACGACGATAAACCATCCCCCTGTCCCCTAATTTGCCTTTAAAGTAGGTATATCAATTCTTTCATGTTGTTGTTTCTAATAAAAATCTGTTTTTGACGTCGAGACACAAAATTTAGATTAAAAAACAAATCCAACCCTTAATCTTTTTCTTTTATTGCCTTTCCCTAGAATTTCTTTCATTCCTGGTGTTTTTCCAGACTTTTCTCAGCTATTTCTTTGTGATTTCGTATCCAAATGACAACGCAATACAATTAATAGATTTTATATCAAATCTGCGCGAGGGTTGCAAAATCTTGAAGTAATTTTTCGTCGATTAGATCTTTCAAGTTTCTCCCCAAAACGCGCCCTTTTAGCGACTCGCTGATAACATTGCGTGCTCTTGTTAAAATATTTATGTGAAAAACGGGGGAGTATTTCAAGGATTAATTTCGGTTGGAGGCATATTGATTAAACCGACTCCGTTTTTTATTAATACCGACATTCAATTTTGTATGGTTACACGTAAACTTATTTCTCATTCAAGTTTAAAAAGGAAAAGAGAGATATTTCGTCACGCTTTGTGTTAGGGAAAAAAACTCGCCGTTGATGACTAAATCGTTTCATGTTATAATTTTATATTTATAACTGTATAAGAACAATTTGTTATATTTTTAGACGTTTGTGAAT